TGCTAACAACTTTTCTTCTACTATCACATCTCCATTATGATTTTCCCATTATGATTTTATAAAGCCAGAGTTTGACTCCTGCACCAAAATGGGATTGCAGATATCGTTTGAAAATATGGAAAGTTACTGTTCTGTTCCTATTTTATGAATTTACTGGGATCACTTAGATAGAAGCAATGACTTGGAGAAGAAGGAAATTATTTGTGAAAAATAGCTAACTAGGACCTTTTCCTAGAACAGAAATAATCTGTTCAGGGGTATGTGTGATTGTTTGGTGAATTCAGAGTGGGAGAGGATGGGGTGTTGCTTCGGATATGTTCCTACTCTCTCTCTGTCCTCCATACATACATACATTTAGACAGGTTGTCTTAAAATGAAAGCTGTACTTCCATATGTTTGAATGTGGACTGCCATTTCCCTCCTCATTAGGGACCTAAATACAGTAAAGTCTCTTACGTTGCTGGTAACTGTGCACTTGTCCAAGCTAATTCAAGTAAGTTCCTGACTAAACATTGGGGGGTGGGGGATAAAGGACTGATCATTGTAGAGAGCACCCTTCTCTCTCCAGTTATGAGTTGTCCAAGTGTTCATATAAATACCTGAATGAGTCCAAAGGTGTGTGCTTAGTATATAGTTAAGCTTGGATTTGTGTTGCAGATTCAGAATACATGTTGCCTCAACACTAACTAATAGGAGAAAGGGACAGCTGCACAGAGTGTGGGGAAACCCAAGAAACAGATACAATCAGAGACAGTGCTACTAGTAGAATTTCAAAGCTGAAATATGTGTGAATTTTTGGTACATAGATATCTTTACAATATTTCTGAGAACTTCCCTTACAAAATATTTCATCTGAAAAAAAATCTTGAGCCTTAGTTTCATATATTTACTTTATTTAATACCATTTTTTTAGAAAATTGCAATTAATCTTAAATGTACTGTATATAGCCAACTGTTTCCTTCCTTCCCTCCCTTCCTCGCTCCCTCCCTCCCTCCCTCCCTCCATGGCTTGTCACAAGCTAAATGAAATTTTAGCAACTGTAAGCTACAGCAACTCGGCTGTAAGTTATGAAAATAGGGCAAGAATAATAATATACCCAGTTATGGAAAAAGTATGACTTTCCAATGATTTTTTTTAGAAAAATTAAAGCTCTAAGGGAATGTGTTTACAGCTACTTTAAAATAAAAAAAAACCTCTAAAGAATAATTTTATTAGGATTAAATAGAATTATGAAACAGCAAGCTTTTTTGTTTTTCAGATTGGAAGAAAAAGCAGTGGGTATAGTGCAGAATGTAAATACATAAATTGTTCTGTAGCATGTTAAAAGTGGCATGAAAATATAATAATGGAATGCAATTTTGGTTCATAATGAGATTTCTTCTATACATTGTTCTGTGGGTGGGTCTGCTGTTGCAAGTTGACAATATATTGGGTATGTGAAGTAATAATTGTTAAATAAATCTACTAATGCAGGATAAGAAAGAACTTTTTGCTGACTTGCTTAGGCTCAAATATCAAACCCACTAGGAATTAAGCCTTTATTTTGAAAAGTTCGGCCATCATTAAATTTTAAATAGTAATAATCGTGTAGAGAATATTATTAGTCATTCTGTCTCAGTATTTCTGTTCTGCTTTGCATTTGTACAAATGTTGAATACATCGATTTGCTTTTCTTTGTTAATAGAGGAGTCAACAACTTATCAGGAGATTAAGGGAATTGGGAAGGAATAGTAGACTAACACCATGCTCACAATGGGAGGCACTGGGTAAATAGCAGTTGGATTTGAGACTCAGACTGCTGAAAATTCTACCTGAATTAAAGAGAGATCTTGAGATTATGCTCATGCACTCCAGACAGCTGATATTTTTTGTGAGTTGACAGACAGACAGATAGATAGATAGATAGATAACCTTTATTGTCATTTTTTCCTGCGGGCACAATGGCACACATTAAAAATGAAATTTAGTTGCTTCCTCTCAAAGTGTACACAAGCATAACACACTTAAAACATACTATATACAACAGCAGAAACCAAAGCTTAAATACTTCTTAACTTTGTATTAAAGCTGCTTATTCAACAATCTGATTTATCTTCATAATAAAAGATCCTGGTTTTCCTTTAAGAAAACCCAACCCAATTCTTTAAATGGGAATAGTATTACTTTTATTAGTATGTTTGGAAGTTGAGCTACAGTATCTAGAAACGCATAGCCCTAAAATATAGCTTTTTTTCTACTTGCTTATTTTCAGTATTTCTCAAGAACAGAAAGGTATTAAAGGTTGAAATGGATCAGCATTGAAATGTCAACTATCTACTTGTGGCAGCATACCAGCATTCAAAAACGTGGTCTAATATTGATTTCCCTGGTTGCATAACATTTGCATTGTGACATTTGGCTTCAACATTGACAAAGTAGTTGTTTCTTGATCAATCATTTTTTGGTATTACATGCCAAACAATCACTCAGTGTGACCTATTTCAAATTGCATATTAACTGTTGGGCAAAAGTTCTGTATGTTTTTTTTAATTATTTTAAGCCTGGAGCATGAATTATGAAGAAGATATAATTTGTAAATACAGATAGAAAACTGTATATTTTTTATCAAGCATTACATGCAGGCAAATTAGTTTCAACAGTGCAATCTCATATATAAATTATGCATGTATCTGTGCATATGTGCTCTCTCTCACTTTCACACACATAGACTTGATTAATACATTCCTATGGCAACTAATTCTGCATTTCTTTCTAGGTTTTCTGTATAAATAAATTTATCTCTTTTTTTTTCTTTTTTCCTTAATGCGTTCTGATGTTGGAGATGCTACCATCCTTCCCAGAAATTCAGAGGGACTTGCATTCTCCCAGCCCTAACATTTTATTGTAATAGCAAACTTGCAATTTATAGAAAAAAAAAGAAACTAGTCCAAAGTCACCCCAGAGGCTAAACTATTCTTGACAAGCAGGAAAAGAAATCATAAATTTGTGAGAAGGTAGATAAATAGTAAAATTGCAGGTATAGATGGTGAGAGCAAAGAAATGTTAAATATACTTATGGGGTGGTTGTAAGACTTGTTAAATATATATCTATATAGAAATATTTATTTGAAGATTGCATATATGCCTAATGATAGAAAAAATGCTGTTATTTTTTTTATACAAATGGAAAGATAGCAAAGGAATGCATAAACTACAAGAGGCTTAGTTACATATCCCTGGGGAAATATTTGGTAGCATTTTGATTGAAAGGACACGAGATGTGAAAATAAGAAAAACAATTATTAGGTGCAATCTGGGGTTTTGCCAGGCAGGGAATGTGCAAACCATTAAGTCAATGAAAAATATATGCATGTGAGAAAGAAGTTTATCACATATTGTTGACTTAAAGAAACTATGTGAACTATGGAATTTTTGCAGGAGTTGAAAGCTGAAGAATTTAGTAAGAGTGCTGTATGCTGAGGTAATACTAGTGTGAGAGAGTAGAATGCTTAGTACATCCTTGGATATGAGTTGACTCCAGTGTAGAGTCCTGCAGATGTGATTTACCTCAACTCTGATTGCCCTAAACCAGAGGTCCCCAACCTTTTGGGCACCAGGGACTGGTTACATGGAGAGATGTTTTTCTGCGGACCGGAGGTGGTGTGATTTTGTGTGCTGCCTGCATCCTATGGATGGGGCTTTGCTTGTTTGTGCGGACCGGTTGCTGGTATGCTGTAGCCCGGTACCGGTCCACGGACTGGGGTTGGGATGCTTGCCCTAAACCACTTGTGCTGGCTAAGATACTGAACATTACAAACCAGCATGATTTGTAAGTAGAGGTGAGTTGTGTAAAGGCTTCTCTGTTCCAATTTGAATAAAGCAGAAGAAAATATGTGACACATAATATCTAAAAGGATCTGTGGGTAAAATGCTGAGACCATTCTCATTCTATGTCTATGATGCCAAACATAAAAATGACTTGGGGAAAAAAAAAGAATCTGGGAGAAGAACTAGAAGAGGAAGTGCTTTAGATCCTCCCCCCCACCCAACCCTGCACTTTAGATTTTTAGGGTGGGGGAAATACACCAATCTCCTAGCATCATTTTCTCCTTAGTGAAGAAAGTTTTGAAATAATTGAATGCAAATAATTCAACTGCATTTTTATATATTATTTTTTCTGCATTTAACAAAATTTGATTACCACCCCGAAACATGATAACTCATTATCATAATTGCTGTTTAACAGAATTTTGTGCTGATGTTATAGTCTCTCCTGCAATTTGTGAATCTCTGACTTTTTAACAGTGTATATATTATCTTAACGTGAGCAGTGTGAAATTCAGGAATATTGTTCTAGAGTACTGACTTTTTCTTCTTTGGAATAAAATGCATAATAATAATGTCAGTTATGAAAGAAAGTGATCAATGGTCAAGCTTGTCTTTTGTTTGTCCTGTTATTAATCAAATGATCCCAATCAGCACTGAAAAACATGAAATACATGTTTTGAAAAGCACAAAATACTTTTATTGAAAAATAATCAACCACATGTATCTCTTATATCCATCTTTACTACCTAATGTGACTGGTAAGGATTTGTACTAGTACGTACTGTGTGCAAATCCAATTTATTAAACATCAGTCTGGTCCATCATAAATTACCGAGTAATAACAATGCATATTGCTATTTGCATCAATGGTAAACCTAGATGCTTATACAGAATGTAACGGACAAATTAACTATTTATTTCAGTCCCAGACCAACTTTCTTGAAAAGTTATGGTAACAATGACAGAAAATAGATATTGTCTGTTGTGTCTTGAGAATAAGATCAGCAGGAAAGAAAATAAAGATAAAAGGCATAGTGAAAAGCTGATGCTCTGTATCAGGTTGATAAGTTAGCAAATAAGATCCCTGTCTCACATATAACACTGTGCATGTCTGTTTTGTATCTATGTGTATGTTTGTATGTGTGTGCGCATTATTGCTCCTCAGCAACTTCTTGTATTTGTTCACTTTTAGCTAACAGCACGATCACTGCCTATAGTGCAAACTGATGAGAGACTTCAACCCCTGCTCAATCACCTCAGGTAATGAAAAACACAGCAGAACCTCAATTTGCTGGACCTTTTGGGATCCGTTACTTCTGAAGGTCCACAATCTGACTCATTTGTACAAATCGGGTCTGGTTTGAGTAGCTGAGGGAAATTCATTTTAATTCTTTCAGATTAAAAAAAGGTGAAGACATTTTTGTAGGGTCTAGGCATTGTGCCTAATGGATCAATTGGTCCCGTGTCCTCGCCCAAAAGCAGAATGGGGTTGTTTTACTTCTTCCCATAACTGGGCCCATCCGCTTTGCCTGTAGAATAACCTAATCCTGTGGTCAGGGTGAGTGAGGAGCTCATATACAGAAGAGCACCATGTTCTTTAGACCAGGGCTTTTCACCCATTGTACCACTTTTAGGATATGGCAACATCCGAGTACCACCAGTCACCTAGCAAGGTGTCAAAAAATTGACCCCCCCCAAAAGGAAAAAAGTGATAAAGTACAGGTAGTCCTAGATTTACAACAGTGACTGTTCGAAGTTACAATAGCACTGAAAAAAGTGCCTCCCAAGCCACAACCAAGCAGGACATCTGCCTGCCCACCCGGTGGCACTCTTCCTCCTGTCCAAGGTTTTCATTGCTGTGAGCATTTCTGTTGAGGATTGGCAGCAGAGGTGGGGTGGGGGGTGTTTGGTTTTTATTCCCCCCCCCCATCTGCTGGGTGGTTGCAGCAGGTTTTGCTTACTTCACATGACCCTGGGACATTGTGACCGTCATAAATATGAATCAGTTGCCAAGCATCTGAATGTAAATGACAAGACCCTGGAGATGCTGCAACATTCCAGCTGATCGGCGCTTCTTCTGGGCTCAGCAGAAGCGTCAGGATCAATGCTGCTTTCCAGCTGATTGGTGCTTCTTCAGGGCTCAGCAGAAGCACCAGGATCAGCGCCGAGCTCCAGCCATCTCTCACTCAGACTTGTGCGGTGCTGCCACCAGTTCAGCTCATTCCCCTCCCCTGCTACCACTTTTCTAGGATGGTCGCATACCACCTGCCAGGTGTCAATGTACCACAGGTGGTACCCGTACCACTGGTTGAAAAGCTCTGATTTAGATTCTTCAAACCATGAAATTTTCAGCGGGAGGCAAAAAAATGTTTTAAATAAAAAAGAATAATTCAGACATTACTAAGCTTTTTATTTACGAATGGTTAACTTGGCAATGGATTCATTGCAATTTTATTGTCAAAGATACTATTTCAATACTTGTATCACTAATGGGGAAGTAATGGGAGCGTTTTTAACATAATGAACGTGCCATGCAGATAATCAGCAATATTGTTGACATACAACATCTGTTTCCAGTCAACACTTCAGATTTCTCCCTTAGGTAATCGTTGGCTCATATCTGTAAAATTATATTTTGCCCTTGAAAAAGGGGCTTTATTTTAATGTTTCCCTTTTCTCAGAACCTTTTGAAAAATGTAATAATGGAATTATAGCAGCACATTATTTATCTTTGTGTTTTAGTTCCTCATATTACTAAGTAATGAAATCAGTTTAAAAATTCAAGAAAAGATTATTATTCTATTATTTCTATAAGAAACATCTGAGAGGTTGTACCTGAATTTTACAAAAAAAGTATTCAACAGTTATTTTCATATGATTCATTAGAGTTCAAATAATCTGCTTCTACTTGAACTCTAATGTTCTTCTAAAGTGTAGTAGAAATATTTCCAAATAAATCTATTCTGTTAATCAGAAATGTATTACATAAAGAAAAAAGTTCTCCAAAGTGAAAGAATTATTTTAAAGTCATATTAATGTCTTGAACACCAGTTTTGAAACATTATCTTTAAAATTTATGTAAACAAAAATACTTGGCTTTTCGTTCCCATAGTAACAACAAAAATGTCCTTTTCAATTCTAAAAATAACATTTATTTCTTTTCTTCTTTTTCCACATCATAGCCATGCATACGTTGGTCCAGACTATAATATTGAAAAAGCAATGGGCAAAATTTCATTGGAACAAATTGATGCTGTAAGTATATTGCCTCCAATTCACTGTCGTTAAACTGAATAATTTTGTCTATCCACTACAGTGTATTTATGGTGTCTCAAACATACTGATAGCAACATTTGTATAGAGATTACAATGGTCTATATATAAAGAATTGAAGAATAAAACATAACTCATAGAACAATGTATGCTTAAATGAATGAAAGTAGGTTTAAAATAAATGAAACAAGAAGAGTAACAGTCAGGAGCATAAGTAGAGCTCTCTAGCCCAAAGCAAACCTTTCACATGAGCCCATGCCCATTTGTGAGGGATCCAGGCATTGAACCCTGATCCCTGGCAACAGCTATTAAGATAAAACCAGACTATCATCACTAGAGCAGCTTTCTTCAGCTGCTGCTACATAGTAATAGACGAGCAAAGTTATCCTCTTACCTATTCAATCACCCAAGCATCCCTTCCTCTCCCTTGTTCAGTTTCCTGCAGTAGTCAGAGGACCATGCCCTACTTGGCTGCCTGAAAAATTTGTCTCTTGGGTGTACTACATCTGGTTTCAAAACCCTACTTAATGTTTTTTATCAGCCAATATTTGTTATTGGCTTGTTTTGCTGGAAGGAGGGAGGAATGTGTGTGTATATATTGTAGTACGCATTTCTGTGGGACAGAATGGTTAGTATTTGTAGGTGACGGGGTGTTATTTTACAAGAAATCAATTTTAATTAGTGGTTGCTAGTTCAGTTGTCCTGCCCTCTTTTGGAATGGATATTTTTTACAAATATAAGTATGTTGCATGTACATATACCTCAAGGCCAGAAGTTGGTTTGGCTGACGTGATAATATCAGAGTTGACAAAGTAAGAAAGTCAGACATAGATATGTTTATCTTTGTTGATCTCCCCCCCCCCCATGAATACTTCCTAGTGTTAGTGGTAGGCAATCAAATTTAGCCTTGTCTTTCTTGTAAGTAAATATGGTAAACAGCTTTACATAAACAGAAAAATAGCCCCAGATAACTGACATCTGGGACATTAATTTAGAATATATTAAAGGGAGGGATAGTAAAGATGCTTTCAAAATAGAATGAGACTCTAGATTAATTACTTATATTGATTTATGCTTTTTACTGTAACTAATACAATTTTAATATCTTTTAACATGTGTTTTCCATTTATTCTTGCATTTTCACAAAAAAATACAACTAAATGTTGACAGTATATTGAAATTGTGAGATAGAGTTTTCCTTTCTTCCCTGTAGTCTACTGTATGCAAATATTCTCCTTTCAAAATTCTTTACCTTTCTGGTTGGTGATCAAAATACAGCTTGTAAGTTAATGTAGTCAGCAGATCATTAATCCAAGTTTTCTTGTTACAGCTTTCGGTTAAATCATTTCCTCTCTGCATGCGCCAGCTCCACAAAGCTCTGCGTGATAACCATCATCTCCGTCATGGAGGCCGTATGCAATATGGCTTATTTCTCAAGGGCATTGGCTTAACACTAGAGCAAGCTCTGCAATTCTGGAAATCTGAATTCATCAGAGGAAAGATAGACGCAGACAAGGTAAATGGGTTGCTCAGTTCTTCACAGTTCTCCTCAGAACACTTCTATAGTCCACAACCAGTGTCCGTGCGCACTAAAACATCTGTGCAGTGTCATGGTTCCGATAGATGAGACCAGTAAAAGCAGAACTCCAAGGCTAGAGGTTTCTTTAAAGAACATATTTATTGGCTACAAAGTATCAGTACAGTCAAAAGTGAAACCAAGTCTGGAGTTCCCTCCCAAGTGTTGCAGCGTTACAAAGTTGAAGTTCCCACCCCATCAGTATGTCATCCACGTTCCCCAATATAATACTTTGGCGGACATTCTAACAGAAGGCTCAGCCCGCCAAACGTCAGGCAGCAATGACCTTGGTTCCCAAGGCACAATTTATTGTTTAACCTTAAAAGCACTCATCCCCCCTCCCAGTACTGTGGCAACAAATCCTGCAGATGAAGAAAAGTTAGAGTTAGGAATCTCCCCGAGGTTTATGAGGGTGCTTATCAAAAAAATCTACGTATCAATCTCTCTGCCTTGACGTCAGTATGTTTTACCCAAGTAGCTTCTGATAGTGGGTATCCCTTCCACTGTACTAAATATTGTAATTTTCCTTTGTACAACATAGAATCAAGAATTTGTTTTATTTCATAATGGGTCTCCCCCTCTACTAAAAGGGGACCAGGTGCTTTTTGGGGAACAGGTCTTAAGGAGGACTCCCTGACAGGTTCTCCAAGCAAAGAGGAGGTGACAATGTGCTGTCTGGACTCATTTGTGGACTAGGATAAAATACATAGCAAAATCCCATTGCCAATGAAAATTAAACTAGGGTTAGAGTTAGGTCTCCTTGGAGCCAGGACCGAAAACTAATATCAGGGACAGATTATTAGGGGTTCTGACTGGAAAGCAGAGGTGACAGTTTTTCAACCGGACTTATTTGTGGATTAGAATTAGGCATCCTTGGAGTCTTGCATTCCTTGCATAAAGATCCACTTGAGGAGCATTGGAATTTCTTCCAGGCATACATTGTAAACAGCACTTCTAAAGTTCTGAATACAGTCACCAGTTTTCCCTAAGACTAAAACAACTGGTGTACTACAGAATTCTTTGGAGCTACTATTCCATCCAGAGGCTGTCAAGGGATTTAAAAGGACTCCCAGAGGTTGGATCAAGGTGTCACCAGCCACTCAGTCCCAGATTGATCCATCAAGTATGGTCATGCACAGATCATATTCCAATTCAGATCACCCCACAAGTAACAATTTATAATATAAAATATGTGTGCTATTAGGGATTGAAGCAGTAGTGCATGCAAAATATGCATTTCTTAAAATATTCTGTTGTACACTCACTGCTCAGAGCAAGCACATTAAACAATATTTTTTTATTGTGCCATGAAACTAAAAATTAACTAAAGGGTATATTTAAATATATAAGCTACAATATGCATTTTAGATCAATTTATAGGTTTTTGATACACTTACTCCCAGTTTGCAAAGTTGCTGGTGGTCATCTGCAAATGCTTGTAGTTTATATTTTTCGTCTTTTTTCCCCCATTCCTTTAATTTCTATATCTTGCCTAATTGTTTCTATTCAATACTTCCAGTGTTGGTATAAATAGTAATGGGGATAGTGGGCATCCCTATCTTGTGTCTTTTTTAATATTAAAATTTTCTGTAAAATTTCCATTTACAGTTACTTTAGCTGTTTGTTCATTATAAATTGTTTTGATTATGTTTATAATTTTTTTTCCAAAGTCCATTTCTTCTAGTTGCTGGAACATGAATTGCCAATTTATGTTATCAAATGTCTTCTGTGCATCTATAAATATTAATGCCATCTGTTTCCCTGGGTGGGTTTCATAGTACTCCAAAACATCTACAATCATTCTTAAGTTATTTTTTTTATTTGTCTTTTAGATAAAAAACCATTCTGGTCTGTATGTTTTTTTAATATACTGTATAAAGCTGTTCTTCTTTTCTTTTGTTGTGCTAATGCAAAACGGAGTTTGCCAATTTTTGATTGCTGTAACAATTTATAGTGTTGTCTCTTGATATGTGTTTCTTGAAGGTAAATTATGTCTATTTTTAATTTTTGTAGTCGTGCAAAAAAAGTTTCCTTTTTGAGGGGGAGTTCTATCCATTTATATTCATTGAAAGCATCCCATTTTCTTTCTCCATCTATTTCGATTATTTCTAGGTTTTAATCTTCTAGTCAATCTTATTTGTCTCTGTTCTCTTGGTCTTGCTCCTTCTTCTGTATTTGTATTTTTAGTTTCTCCTTCTTCTCTAATCTGCTGTTTCCAGTACTGCCCAGTCCACTGTCTAGACTTTTTTTGTCTTTCTTATCGACAGTTGGCTTGTTATATGGCAAGTGCCTGTCTTTTTGGATTCTAAACTCCAGAACACTTTAGGTTCTTCATTTTCTATATTTTATGGTCCCACCAGTTTTTGCTTGCAGGCAAATGGTATTTCGTGTGGATCTTGCAATGCACCCCTGTGGCTACTTTGTCATGCCGTTCTTTGTAGTCGGTTTGTGTGATCTTCTTTGGTTGGGCTGTTTACTGTTAGCTTGTTTGGCAGTTTCTTCACTGGAACATTGTTTACTCCTTGATTGTTGGTATGATGTTAATTTTGTTCATGTGAATGTTGATTGTTGGTAGGGAGGTATTTCGATCATTTTGTTGCCTTCTTGGATTCTTAATTGAATTCTCCCCAAAAAGAAAACTGGAAAAAATCAGAGAGAAAATTTTTCTTTCTTCTTTTTTTGCCTGACTCCTATGTAAATCTCCTATGAAACAACAGCCTATCATTATGATTATTTTACTTTTGTCGAATAAACATGGCATCTCATCTTTGTCTATGTTGGTCGAACGTTTGTGAATAGGTGTACCTGGGAGCTCATCTCTTCTTCCTCTTCCATTGCCTCCGTCTCCCGTTTCCTCAGCCGCTCTATTAACGTTGCAGTGTCAGGGGTCAGCTGGGCAAGCCCTGGGGGAAAATAATAAAATACCTTGTACTCGTGAACTTGTTAAACTTTACATAAACCCAATTAGTCTCATTTTAAAAATGGAAATGAAAATTAATTAAAATAATTAAAATAATACTCACTCTCTTCAGCTTTTTGGAGCTTCTTTTTAATCTCGTTGTTTTCCTTCACAATATGTGCTAAATTGCTGGCAAGCGTTTTATTTTCTTCTTCCAGCTAAGACATAAAAATGACCAGGAGCATACATCAGTCATAGAATAGAAATAAGCAGACCAAAAGAGAAGCTTAAGACAGGCTTATAAGGGAAACAACTGACTCACAGCAGTTATTCTGGCATTCTTTTCTGCCAGCTCCTCCTGATGCCTTGCTGTTAATTCTTGGAAGTGCTCCCTCTGTTTTCTTCTTCGTTCTTGGTACTTCGAGAGACACACCTGCCAAAAGAAGAAATTTTGAACCCTTTGAACAGAGGAGGCAAATTTACTAAAGAAATCATAGTGTGGTATTGTCTCAAGACTCTATTGCTATTAAAAAAAAAACTACCAGACCCAGAAAGCTGTCCTGTCTTTCCTCAATCCTTCTCACTAACCACTGTTAACCATTGTTAAGCAACAAACCTCATGACATCACCTGAATTTTTGCCTCTAGCCACTGCAGGGACAGCTGAAGTTGCCTTTAGCTGCTCTGCTGTTAAAAGTGATGCTATAATGGCCCTTTTGTTCCAATTTAAACCTTGCTGTATGAACCATTGACACTGCCTCCGAGATAGTGTTGATGACAACATGGTCAGAGGCTAGGATGTTCTTATCTCTAGTTTAGGGTAAGGTGACTCTGAGCCTCCTGACTTAATTAGGAATTAGGGATTTGAGGGCTCTAGCCAGCCCCACAACTGTGCTTTTCTCTGCTCCCCAAGCAAAGGCACAGAGCCATGTGTTCCCAGCCTTTCTGGAAGGCTGTCCTGTGGATGCGTTTAAACTGAAGATATTAACACAATTCACCAAGAAAGGGCCTGAAAGAAGATGTGCAAATATTTTTAAAATATTTTAAAATATTTCAAAAGTTATTCTAAAAATTATTCTAAAAGCTTTTTGCTTGTTCCTAGATTATTTTGATTCCTGTTTTACTTCATCATTATCACTATTTTTATCATGTTATCTATCATATTACCTCTATGAATTCTAAATCCTACAGTCAGAGATGCAAGTTAGGAAGTAAATAAAACCCAAGATCTCTTACCTCAGACAGGAGCTTCCCTGTGTAATACAGGAATGTCTCCATTATAAACTAAACTAAACTAATCCTAACTAAACTAATTCACGAAATATATGAAATATGATAAACAAATAAACAGTGTGTTAAATAGGAATATTAAGTAAAATTAATAAGCAAATAAATACTGTAAAATAAAACAAACCTAAGCTATGTAAATACAGATAAATAAAAGCACAAGAAAATATAAGCAACCAAATAAAATCAAATAAACTTAACTAAGCACCCACACAAGATAAAACTCTTGAGTGAATAGTTTTCACTCAGTCCACCAAAAGGTTTTATTTACTTCTCCTTTGTGAGCTCATGCCCCTGTTAGCACCATTATGAGGCATGACCTCACCAAGGAAAAGCAAAACAAACTGAGTGGCTGAATGAATGCTACTCAGAGTTTTATCTATTTTTCAATATTGGTAGATATGTAACTACAAAATTCTGCTGATGCATTTAGTGCAATCAGAGGGTGAACTAACAAGAAAAATACACACAGCTGAGAGTGAAAAAGGACTGCAGTGTTGAATGAGCAGACCTGGAGAGATTTCTTGCTTGGCAGAGTAAATTGCAATAGGATCTCACTTTAAAGAGCTTCCACATATTGCTTCTTGTCCAGTCTTAGGTGCTTTTGAGAATAAGTCAACCCCCTCATCTGTTTGGCTGCCCCTCAATTACTGGAAGACAGCTGTCATGTCACCCCTAATATTTCTCTTTGATAGGCTAGACATAGCTAGTTCCCTTAACTGATGGTCATACAATTTAACCTTCAGGCCTCTTATCATCTTAGTTGCTCTTCTCTGCACTCTTTCTAGACTCTCAGCATCTTTTTCATATTGTGGCAATTTTTCAAAAAGCCCTTAAGAAGACCAGGTCCGAGTGTGAAGGAAAGTGCACCTGAAGGAGCAGTGGGGGAGAGTTTGGGCAACGCAGAGTTCTCCCATAAAGAGACCTGGATCAAGAGACTGCGCAGACCCAAGCTGGAAGGGGCAGCAGGAAAGAAGTTCAGTGTAGCTTGAATTCACACAAGATTCTCTCAGAATATATCTAGTAAGTTAGAAGGTTATCGCTTGAATTTGGTAAGATGCTGTCAGTTAGGTTTAAGCAAATAAAGGATTGAACTTAATTGGGCTTCGCTGTGCCATTCCTGATCTTGGGCCTGACATTTCCTTCAACTATGGGATTTCTAGTTTTTTTAGGATATCTATTATTATGGTCTATAATATTTGTATTTGCTATTTTTCTCTCCCTAATTTTTGAGAGGGTAAAAGTGAGGGATGGGAGGGATAGTTTCAGGCTTGCATGATTCTGTTAACGTAACCTCTAACGTAGGTAGAACTCGGTAGAATCCCATCGTTCCAATAGATGAGACCAGTAAAAGCAGAACTCCGGGGCTAGAGGTTTCCTTAAAGAACATATTTATTGGCTACAAAGTATCAGCACAGTCAAAAGTGAAACCAAGTCTGGAGTTCCCTCCCAAGTGTTGCAGTGTTACAAAGTTGAACTTCCCACCCCATCAGTATGTCATTATCCATGTTCCCCAATAGAATACTTTGGTGAACTTTCTGACGGAAGGCTCAGCTCACCAGAAGTCAGGCAGCAATGACCGTGATTCCCACGGGACAATTTATTGTTTAGTCTAACCTTAAAACCACTCATCCCCCTCCCAGTACTATGGCAACCGAAAATGAAGCAAAAATGACTTCAGCCAGAATTGTTGCAGTGTTGACGTTTAGTTTACATAAACACTAAAGACAAAAGCAGCAGTTGCTTTCACATCAGCCTCTGCACAGTTGGATCTCATCACGATTCTTTTCTCATAAGTTTTGTTTGGGTAGTTTACTTTATGTTTACAAAAATTATAAAAAGAAAATAGGAATTATTTATTGTGTTCAAAAAGCAATGATGTAGTGATGCCAATATTTATCTTATTTGTTTACTAATGCTTCTCTTCCACCCAATATCCAGAGACTAAGTGGCTTACAGAATGCTACAGTAAATATTAAAATAAAAATTAAAATCTAAAACATGAACTTGCCACAAACCAAAACAGGGCCGTTGTATAGTGTTGGATCAAATGTCCATATCTTCAAATGGCTTCTTTAACAGCTGAGTCTTTAGAATACAGAATAACAGAGTTGGAACGGACCTTGGAGGTCTTCTAGTCCAACTCCATGCACAAATAGGAGGCCCTATACCATTCTGGACAAATGGCTGTCCAATCTCAAAAGACCTCCAGTATTATCCACAACTTTTGGAGGCAAGCCGTTCCACTGGTTAATGATTCTCACTGTCAAGAAATTTCTCCTTAGTTCTAACTTGGTGCTCTCCTTGATTAGTTTCCATTCATTGCTTCTTGTCTTGCTTTCTGGTGCTTTGGAAAATAGGTTGACCACCACCCCCCCTTTGTCGCAGGTCCATTCAAAAGCCATATAAGGTGGAGGATGACTGGATATCAAGGAGTCATCTGTTTCAAAGACAATCATTGCCGTGAAGGCTCTTTTACTGGGATCTATGTAGGTGATATTCCCTCAGAGAAGGAATCTTAAGCAGTTTTCTCTTCTGATCTCAATAGGATGATAATCCAGAGAATGTGGCCTGGTAGAAATCAAGTTTCTTCCTTCCTTCCTTCCTTCCTTCCTTCCTTCCTTCCTTCCTTCCTTCCTTCCTTCCTTCCTTCCTTCCTTCCTTCCTCTTATTTACAGAGTTTATAGGCTACTCTAATGAATTGGTTCTGACATAAAAATTCACCAAATCTGTAATTTGGGTTAAAATAAATACATCCTGAAGTAAAACTGAGATTATTCATTATAAAACAACCAAATACATCTGGACTCAAACATTCTGGTAACAATTAGAAATAATTATTCTTTCTAAAACTTGGAAATGCTACAACAAAGAAAATGCTTTATCAGATGTGATGGTTATTCAAACCAATTTTTAAGAAATCTTAGGTGGACTGCAGGGTGGATGGAGAATCTGTCCTGCTAAAGTTGTCCACTCTGCTGGCAGGCAAATAAGGTTGAATTTTATTGTTATCAGCCTGCACTGTCTTCAGTTCTCTAACTTTACAGGTGATAAGAATTGTTTGCCAAATCTGGAGAATACAATGTGTTTGAAGTTTAGCAATTTTAAGCTTCTGTATTAACCACTTGCAAGTTGTTCAGTGGTTAAAAGATTTGAAACTGAAAAAAATCAAGTCTTTGAAGTAACATTTGACAAGTAAACTCAAATAATCTCCAGGCTTAGAAGTTCTAACTAGTATAAAACGCTGAAAGGAACATCTTACAGTGAATGGTTAGACCTTTTTCAAAAGCAGTGCCCTGGCTGCTGGTTTACTTACCAAATAAGTTCAAAATTGTAATGACATACAGAGCTCTTTTTAACTTAAGTCATAGCTGTCTAGCAAAGTACTTGTTCCCTGATGTTTCTGATTGCCATTTAAAATCTAGTGGAAATGTCTTCCTTAGGGTGTCACATCTGCCAGGAACTTCATACATGGCAGCCCAAGAGAAAACATTCTCAGTTCAAGTACTCTATTAGTTCCTCGGTTGGCATGAAGCATTGCAAGCTTTCAGCTCCAGATTAAATTATTTCTTGAAGTTACTGTATACCCCACCTTTCTATTTGTATTATACAAATGTAGGATTTTTTTAAAAAAAAATACTACACATAAACATAACTCTAAAGCCAGTATCCATAAAATAATGAACAATTAAAGTCAGAATAGGCAATCAGATAATTCTAGGAAATGATATAATCGGTTTACGTTGTGGACTATTCACATTGCATTTTGGCTTAAGTTTTTTTTGCCCTGCAATCTGAAGCAATGTACAGAGCTAATAAAAATAATGTTTTGTTTGTTCAGCTTTAGTAACCATTAATTAAATTTATACTTAATATTGCTAAATACATGGTCAAGAACCTACTTCAGGTATTAAAATTATTCTGAAATAGGTATTTCACACAAAGCATATTGTCTTCCAAATACATTCTTCAAAAAAGGTACCTAAGTGCCTTAAGGTTCACATACTGTAATTTGTAAATCATATTAGTCCCCCCCACCAGTGGTGGGATTCAGCCAGTTTGTGCCACTTCAGCAGAACCAGTAGCTAATTTTTTGTTGTCCAGGCCCAAAATGGACTTCCGGAAGCAGCATCCACACACAGAACTGGTTGTTCACATATTTGAATCCCACCACTGCCCCCCTCCCATTCAAAAGGATTCTTTATCCAATGTAGATAATAAACATTTAGTGAACAATTAAAAATTGAGAATACTGTTCAAAGTAATACAGGTAGTTCTTGGCTTACAACCACAATTTAGCCCAACATTTCTGTTGCTAAGCGAGACAGTTGTTAAGTGAGTTTTGCCACTTTTTACACCCTTTCTTGCCACACTTGTCAAGTGAACCACTGCAGTTGTTAAGTCAGTAACATGGTTGTAAAGTGAATCTGGCTTCCCCATTGACTTTTCTTGTCAGAAGGTCGCAGAAGGTGATCACATGATCCCAGGACACTGCAACCGTCATAAATACATGCCAGTTACCAAGCCTCTGAATTTTGATTATGTGACCATGGGGATGCTGCAATGGTCATAAGTGTGAAAAGTCATAAGTCACTTTTTCTGTGCCATTGTAACTTCAAACTGTCACTAAACAAATTGTTGTAAATCAAAGACTACCTGTAGTAATAAATATAGGAATAAAAAGTTTCATTTACTTTTTGAATAATGAGTATTTTTTTTATTGAAAAATTTTAAAATTTTACAAAAAGAAGAAAAAAAACAACCCTACCCAACCCACCCCAACCCTCCCACTGCATCCCCCAACCTTCCCAGAGCTGAATATAGGCTTAATTAAAATTTCTTAAAATCTTTAAAAAAATTAAGAAAGTATAAACCATAGATAAGTCTAAATACATTACATAAACAACTTATAAAATAATTAACAATAATATATGTATAAAAAAACATAAATATTAAAAAAGAAAAATGCTTAAAAAGAAAAGGAATATATAAAAAAAAGAGAAAGAAGAAAAGAGATATTAAAAAATAAAAAATATAAGGAAAAAGAAAAAGATACAATCTATAAAATATTATTGAAAAACTAAGTAATATTTTTTTATATCCAACTTATGTTGTATAAAATCTATCCATTTTTCCCATACCGTAAAAAACTTCTCTTGCGATTGATCCTTTAAAAAAGCCGAAATCTTTGCCATTTCCGCCAAATAAGAAACCACTCTTGCAAAGTAGGCAAAGATTCCTTCTTCCAATATTGCCCTACTAACAACCTTGCGGCTGTGATTAAATTTAACATCAATATAACCTCCTTATTATCACAATCGGTAAGAATACCTAACAAAAACAATTGTGGGGTAAATTTTACCCTCCTTCTAAAAATTCTTTGAATATTCCACCATATCTTGATCCAAAAGGCTTTTATATTTTTACACGACCACCAAATATGATAATAAGTAGCATCCAAACAACCACATCTCCAACATTTAGGCTGTAAGTCAGGATACATACGAGACATTTTTTGTGGATCAAGGTGTCATCTATAAAACATTTTGTAAAAATTTTCCCTTAAATTCTGGGCTTGTGTAAATTTAACATTCCTCACCCAGATGGTTTCCCAGGTATCTAGTAGAACTGGTTCACCAAAATTTTGTGCCCATTTAATCATACATTCTTTAATTAGTTCTGGTTCTGAATCCAATTCTACTAGCACCCCATAAATTCTCTTAATATGAGCTCGCTTTTGATCTTTTACTTGTTTGAAAAAATTTTCATCTTCTCTAAGCAGGCCCACATTACGATCTATCTTCCATCTATCCGCTATTTGTCTATACTGAAACCATGAATATATAATGTTTTCTTGTGTTAAATCTTCCAAAGATTTTAACTGCCAATTTTTACCATCCCATCTGAGTAATTGTGCATAAGAAACACTA